AGCTTGCAAGCCATAGCCGCACTCCAAGCAGGCTATCGATCGACCTACACGGACGAACGTACACTAGCCGTCAATCGATCGATAATTCAGAATAAAAACTACAGCCATCTACTGAGCCAACAGCCAATGGGACTCCCACTATTTCAGAAGAGAATCTGATTGGCTCAATGGACATCGTTTACACACGTTTGTTTCCCTAAATTTGCTGTACCTCTAACACTCAAAGACTTCTGCCGTTGCACCCTTCTTGTCGTGTTCTTCCTCTGGGGACTCACACAAGGCGTTATTGGGCGGCGATATCTCGGACTGGACATCCGTTACAACATTTCCAAGTAAAAGGAGGAATTTTATTGCGTCTCCCAAATACTTCATGTATCGAGTTTAAAACTTCGACTCACCATGCATTCACATATTAAGAAATTTGTTTCTGCTTAACAAATCTTGATTAGCTTTTCTTACATCCTGTTGGACCCTCTCTAATTTTTGGTCACCAGCAACTTTCTTTCGGTGAATATGTTGACTTACTTTGAAGCCTGCTGTATTATGATCTCTAGTTTCCTAGTCGGTGATCGGCGAACTCACACAGTGGAATCCAGAATCATGCTAGCGGCGAACTCTCTAGCCACTGATTTTGAAACGAAGATATCTACGGATTGTATCTGATTGCGGATTCAGATCAGACTCAAATTTACACAGGTTATGTGAACTCTCACGTTCCATGTTATTTTTGTAATTCAATTAAATAAGTGACTACATAAATGCTTTCAGCTATTTAAGCTATCATGTTGCCAATTACGCTTAACCAGGTTGATTTTTTTAGTTTGTATTCTTGTTTTGTTACATCGAAATCATCAAAAGGGATCTAGCGCATTACTTCAAGTGCGTCTCAGGTATGTATGCGGTTGTCTTAACGTGCGGCTGTAGTATATCGTGTTTTTTAGTCTTCCCATTGTTCGGTTTCTTTAAAAAATGAAATTCTGATGCAAAATCTATGTTTTAGCGCTTATAGTTAAGAATATTAGATGATGTTGCGGGGCCCTTTAGGGATGGGCGCCTTTCGCCGTAGCAAAATGTTGGTTTTATTCCGGCATGTCCATGTCTGAAGGTTGACATAGCTTTGTGTACTATATGCTGACATAATGCCTGCATGTTTATGCAATCTATGTGAATGTGCACTACTGCCTGTAATGCATCTTCAAAAAACGCACATTACATAAGATTATATTAATGATCCTTCATCCAATACCAAGCCGAACATACTGACCTTTTAGAATTAGCCTTACACTGCAAGTAGTCTTTGTCCCTGTGTTTCCTTATATGTAAGGGCATGTCTACAAACTCATTGAAATGTGGCAAGCTATTCAGGCAACAGGGCGGCGTACGTGAGCGGACATCGCAAGACCTCTGTTTATACCTCAGTTACCTTCACCTTAGCCACTGGTGTACTCAGTGCTGTAAGACATGGATTGCTGTCTTTATTCTATCGCACTGCCCTGCTTTATAGTACTGTCTATTATATAGGTTTGACACGGGTTATTCTGTAAGGTTATCCGTCTACGTTTGAGCCGAAGTGCCGGTATAGCTTAGTAGGCCTGCATTTCAGAAGAAGTCTGACGAACCAGGTTCGACTTTTATTGGTAACTTTGAGCCGATAACTCGCACCAGTCCACTTTTTTTTGTCAGACGCCACAAACACCAATTAAGGGTATTTGAGGTTCTGATCCTCTCTAAATCTACTAAAATGGGTTTACAGCTTATTCTGTGGAAATGCAAGCTGCCTGGCACCCAGGCGTTCTTTTTACTGCTTCTTGATAAATTTTCCATGCAACTGAAAGTATATGACCCTAGTTGTATCGAAATTTCTTGACTTAAAAAGATTGATACATTTTCACCACCAGGACTACCAATTACGCGTGTTAGTGAGCGATCAGGTGATATTAGTCCGAAGTTTACCATATGGAAGCCGTCGTGATGAAGACACCTTAGACAGGGTTATTTATAGCTAAGATAGTCGCTTACATAGAAGATGCAATTACCTTCAAATCGACTTCTCTGGTTGTCGTTTTTGGATGTAGGAGGGTGACCGACGGTCAACTGGGGCTTCACTAAGTTGAACCTCTGTTATGTCGACCAGCTAGGGAAATAATGCAATGTTATGGTTGCTCAGTGCCGGGTGCCCCAATTGGTTCCAACAATCTAACAATGTGGGTTGGGTGGTGCCTGCTTCAAATGGACAGGTCTCATTTTATTTAGTTGGTTGCGTTCGGAGGTTAGTGTGTCGAGTAACCAAAATCTACCTTACATTTATTTGGAAATCATACGACAGGTAAATGTTTCTAACTAAGTTGCCCCTTACCGATGTGCGCTGTCTACTTGATTTTTTCACACCTCCCCAACTCAGGCAAAAAGATTCCCCACTGAGCACGTAGCACATCTTTGAAGCCGACCACCAAGATCCATTGCATACTCTCACTCTATTAGGCAAAGAGGTAAATCTTAATAGCATTCCACAAACATGTTTTTTACATTGCCGACGTTGAAATGGACAGGTGGTAAATAAGCTCGATATCTGACTGTGATATACACGAAAAGGCAATTAATCTGTGTTTTACACTGCAATTCTCTAAACCATTTGACTCCGTAGAAAGTATAACTGAAAAGGACATTTGTGACCCAATTTACACTCATGACTTAGTCACCGTCCTTACTCAGTCATTCCCTAACTATTGACTGGGAAGGTGTGAGATTTGAACACGCGTACAGCTGATCATCAAACGTAACTAAACATTCTACATTTTACGAGTGCCTTCCGTGCCGATTAAATATGCTCTAAATGTACATTTCATAGTGTGATGTAATTCGCCTGTTTCTTTTGACTTCCCTTGCGTAAAGTTCACTTGAAATCAGTTACCAATCTTATGGCTGATCCTAAGTCGAGTGCGTGTTATTTCGTTTTTTTAGAAGTACTCCCCTTCTTTTTTTCTCAAGTTCATACAGCACGAAGGTATTTACTTGTCTCTTGTAGACCAGTACTGCTTAAGGCTGCGTCATTTGGGGATATAGAAACAGTATCCATCATAAATACTAACCGATAGTATGCGTTTACCCGCTATATTTGTATAGTCTGCTTGGCCGTTCCATATTCTCCAGGTCTCATTGAGATAACTAATTAAACATTTCGAAACATCGACCTGTGAGTTCTTATCTATTACAGAATTACTTTGAAAATGGTCTGCTCTTATATGGCTTACCCGGTTTATTTTAAGATCCGGGCACTTATTCTACCTCCTTAACTTAATCTCCATCTTTGTGATTTCCCCCTTCACCTTTGTCTAGCGAGTCTTGTTTTGTTGTTAAAACTTTACAATATCTTCCTAGGGGCATGACTTAGTATATCCTATCGCATTTTAGGTGAGAGGGGGCAATGAAACGGAGTACATGCAACACTCGAACTTCATTCAAACCCTTCAAACTTCACAAGTACGCCTCCGAGCAGCCCGGCCATGACCAATCGAGTTCGTTCTTCTTACGACTTCCCAACGAAATCATATTTCACATATTCACCTTCCTTGACTGTAGTTTTTTCACCTTTCTAATCTGTTTTTCAACTTAGTCTGCGATCTATCGAAAGTTGCCTATACCTGTCGTACAAACCGGATGTCAGTCGAGTTGTACTTGTCAAGCTCGGCATGTACACAATTAAAAGGCTTCCGTACACCGCATCCCGAGACCACACCCACTAACAGCTCGGAGGTCAAACGTAAGGTGAAGTACTATAGCAAAGTTGGTGAGTTAAAATTTCCTCGTCGTTATATTAATTCAGGTACACTCTTTCGGAAAATCTACCGCCTTACATCCCTCACGTTGCGTATCGAATTGCTGCAGGAAATTCTTTATTCGGTAATTTCCTTTACCTGCTTATCATCATTCGTTTCCTTCTTAAGGTTATCTAGTGACGTCATGATGCTTTACTTTATCTATAAAAGACTCAATGGATGTGTCTAGTGGATATCTCTTCACTGAATTTCTGGGCAGACTTTCGTAGTTTTAATGAGAGTTATCGGTCAATTATAACTTAATGATGAATAAATGGTACCAACGAACGCAAAGGTGACTGGGGCAGTCATTTATAGTTTGTTTGATCATAAGGGCAGCCGTTATGTGATCCGTCATCTGATCGCCGAATATTTCTAAATTTGGCGCTCTTTCACGAGTCATTATCTATCTGTTCTTCCTGTTAGCTGCTGTCAGTAATCTTCAAAATCATGTCGGTGTGGAATTCATTAATCTATCCCTCTTCGGTGAAAATAAATTGGCATTATTGTTTCTACTTGAAATTTAGAGCATAGATGTTTTGCAGATGGTCTCACGGCAAATAAGACCTGAGTGGCCGAATGTTTAACTTAAAAATGTCCATTGGTCAACTGTGTGCCCCTAAACGGGCCGAGTAATACCTGCGGTGGACCGACGTGGGGGATAAATCAGAGCACGGCAGACGTTATTCGGTTTGCCCTCCCATAAAAAATGCCGAACGTGGGGAAAGTTGGGGACAAACGTAGATTCCGGTTGCGTATGGTTGACCTACGAAGGCAAAAGCGGCCCTCCCAGTCTCCCCCGTTTTTTGATGCATACCTGTGATTGATTACTTGCTTGGTCTGCGTCCTGGTGACCAGTCGCTTTTCCTCGCCGGTAGGAGCCTATTTCGATAATACATTATACACATTTTCCCCCGAATGACTTGAAGAATCGCCGAATGACACCTAGGTGTTTGAGTCTTTCTGACCTATTGGTTTGACCTGTCTGCCTGACCTTAGTAGATTGTCTAATACCTCTCTGCATTTAAGTCGCAATTTATTTTTGTTCTGGCATCTTACTAGAGAATACGGTGCCCACGGCACCGATTTCTTTCGTTGAATGTTTCTCCGTCGTTAACCTAATCTGCTGCTGCTGCTCTGACTATCCCCATTTTCAGTACATGTGTTGTCCACCTGAGGAAATGAAATCCCCCTCTCAAGATAAACCGTCCAGTCGTCAGTACCTCTTCGATCGAAAGCCCTGCAACACTGGTCAGTTGCGCTGCCCCTCCCTCTTCTTTTTTGGCCAATTTCTGCGCTCCTTTCTCTCCGGCTGCTCCGACTCTGAATACCAGCGTGTCTTTCACTCACTTGTGCACTCCTGCTTCGGACAGAACTTCTGGCTAAGGCTGACCAATCTCATCTGCAAAAAGGCTGGTGAGTGGAGACCCAAGCTCGGCTTTGTATATATGCATACCATCCATGTGCCCACTAAACGGACCGTGTGGTAGATGCGCTGGAGCAGCCCGTAGGGCCAAATCAGGGCATGGCAGACGTTATTCGGGTTGCGCTCCCATAAAAAATGCCGGGCATTGGTGGTACGCATAGGCGCAGGCTCGGGCACCAGTCGCCCATGGCCTTTATGGAACTCCCATTTTGCCAATAAAAGCGAACATGCGAGTCCCAAGAAGTAATTGAGAAAAAGACGACTCGATCGCTCGGACAATACTTTTATTCGCCTGACGTTTCGATATCCGTCGCGGATTCGTCATCAGAAATATAAGTCAGACAGTAATAGCAGATAGGGTAGCATATGCATAGGAGTTTGCAGTATTTAAAGGATACAGTAATTACTGCAAACATACAACGACAATTAACCGTAAATTCTTGAGTGTTGGTGGTCTGTTGAACGGCATGCGGGCTCTAACCTGCTGACATTTCATCACGCGTGGTGGATTCCGGTGTGATAATTGCTCGGTAATCTGGCCCTCCATTACTGGTGGTCTGCCCGTTCCCCAAGCGGCGACTTACTTTGGCCAAATTGAGTCTCAGCACGGAATATGGATTGGGCAAATCGTTGCACTTGTTGGTGGATTGGAGGTCCGTGAACCATGATCCAAGTTATTCTCGTCTCACCCGATTGCCACCTCTTGCGTGAATTTCGGCCTCATCAAA